AACTTTCAATGCCCCCCAAATAAGCTAAGTATTAGCAAAACCTGAACCACTATAATTTTCATTTTGACTAGGTAGTGTATTACTTTGGTTCATATTTCAGAAGACAGCAAAGGGTAGTCGGTGGGAAGTCTTCTGAGATGAGCTCCTATCTTCTCAGATCCTCCCCCAAGAGACAACCAATAATTTTATCAGTTTCTTATGTATTCTTCCAAAGTTATACAGGTATATCTATTCTCTCTTGCCCACTTTTTACACAAATGGTAGCATCTTGCACACATTTCTTCACCTTGCTTTTTTCCACTAACAGCATATCAGTAAATAAATGGTTGGGTTGTGGTGGTTGTTGTTGTTTTATAGCTGCATTAAATTTAACTTAATCTGCCCCTTATTAAAGGGCATTTAAGCTATTTTCAAAGCTACACATTCAATATTTTGTAGGTACTGAAATATATTGTAAATATATGAAAATATATCTAGTACATAAAATCTTATAAGTGGAACTGCTAGGTCAAAATGGGTATTTTTTTAAAAGCAAAATGGGTTATTTTTAATCTTTATAGATATTACCAAACAGAGCTTGAACCAATTTATATTCCCATTGGCGCTTACTTCCCCAAGCCCTTATCACTACGCATTATGAAATTTACATATTTTTGTCAGTCAGCTAGCCGGAAAATGGTACTTCCCTTCCTATAATTTTTAGTTTCACTTTGTTACAGACCCTTCTGTAAAGTGCTGACAGGTACAAAAACAAGGTGACAACAAATTTACTCTGCAAATCTCAGAAGATTCAAAAGGCAAATTTTATAATAAATTTTTACAAAGCCCCTTTCAACCCAGCAGAAAATGATAGGCATTTCTCTAAGACATAGTTCAGGCTAAATACAGAAACAAGATTAAAGCAGTATCAGAAAATATATGCATTATTAAAGTCATGGTAAGTTACGAAGAGAAATGAAGGATAGATAGCTTCTTTGTTTCCCTTGAGTTTTAAAGTTTGATTTTTTTCAGTTTTAATATATTAGAAATTTATATATATAAGTTCTGCTAAAACGCTTGTTTTGACCATTGAAATCTGTTCCAATTTGACTGATATGCTAGAGAATATGAGCAAATTCATCTGTGAGAAACAAAAAGTGAACACAAAAAAATTGCACCCAATCACACTAAGCAGTATGTGAATACACAAAACATGCACATCCTTAAACATCTACCAGATAATCAAAACAGAGTGGTACTGACATAAGGATACATATATAGGTCAATGGAAAAAGAAGTAAAGATCATGCGTTTACAATCAACTGATTTTTGACAAGCGTGCCAAAATCACTCAAAGGAGGGGAAGAACCTCTTCAACAATGGTGCTGGGACAACTGGCAAGCCACACACAGAAGAATGAAGTCAGACCCTTACCTCACACATTACACAAAAACTAATACAAAATGGACCAGAGACTTGAATGTAAAGCCTAAAATTATTTAACTCTTAGAAGAAAACATAGGAGTAAATCTTTATGACCTTGGATTTGGCCATGGATTCTTAGAAATGACCCTAAACGCACAAGCAACAAAAGACAAAAACAGATGAATTAGATTTCATCAAAATTAAAAACTTTTGTGCTTCAAAGGACACAATTAAGAAAATGAAAAGACAACCCACAAAGAGAAAGAATGTGTAAATTATATATTTGATAAAAGACTTGTATCTAGAATATATAAAGAACTTAATAATAAAAACGACAAATAATCCAATTAAAAAATGAGGAAAGGATCTGAAGAGATATTTCTCTAAGGAAAATATATAATTGCCAATAGGCACATGAAAAGATGCTTGACATCACTGGTCAGTAGGGAAATGCAAACAAAAAACACAAGGAGGTAATACTTCACACCCACTAAGATGGTGGTCATCAAAAGGCCAGATAATAACAAAGTTGGCAAGGACGTAGGGGAATTGGAGCCCTCATACACTGCTGTAGGAATGTAAAAATGGTGCAGTCACTTTGGAAAACAATCTAACAGCTCCTTCAACAATTAAACAGAGAGTTGTCACAAGACCCAGCAATTCCACTCCTAGGTATGTACTCAAAAAAAAAAAAAAAAAAAAAAGTCCATACAGACACCTGTGTACAAACGTTTACAGGGCCTTAGTCATAACAGCAAAAAGTAGAAACAACCCAGATGTCCATCAGTTGATGAGTGGATAGACAACATGTGGTATACAGCCACACAATGGAATGTTATTCAGCCATAAAAAGGAATGAAGTACTACATAGGTGAGCTTTGGAAATATTACGGTACATGAAAGAAGCCAATCACAAAAGATCACATATTATATGGTTATGTTTTCATGAAATGTCCAGAACAGGCAAATCTATAGAAACAGTAAGGAGAATTAGTAGTTGCTTAGGGCTAGGGGAGAGGAGATAAGGAATTGGTAGCTAAAGAGTATGGAATTTCTTTTTGGATGTGATGAAAATGTCCTAAATTTGACTGCAGTGACAGCTGTACAACTCAGCGAATATATTAAAAACTACTGAACTGTACACTTGAAATAGGTAAAGTGAATAGTATTTGAATTATATCTCAATCCCTCCCTGGGTTGCTGGAGGAGGGTGGATGGGGAATGGGCTAACTAGGTGATGGGTATTAAGGAGGGTGATTGTTATGATGAGCACCGGGTGTTACATATAAGTGATGAATCACTAAATTCTACTCCTGAAACTAATATTACACTATATGTAACTAACTAGAATTTATATAAAAACTTGAAACATAAAAAAGCAAAAACAAAAACAAAACAAAACCCCATCTCTCAGCTCTCGCAGTTTCCCTCAAGTGTATGGGTCACATTTTCCGTATTTGGTCTTTAACTTCCTGTCAGACTTCCAACAAACCTCCTTTACCACTTCATAATAATTTACAAGTGGCAACTCCTCCCACACCTACTTCCAAAATTAAATTTCAGGGTTTTTTCGAAGGAAAAGTACCATATTCATCTTAATGTTTATAAATTTCTTAACTATTTAACATATACACAACTGTACTACCATTTTTACTAAGTTCCTGTCTTTTTTTATGTGTTACTGTCAAAGTTGTTGAGTGTTATGCCTCAATCCTGTCTTTCCCATAGGCTCTGTGTTTTTTATTGCCCAATTTTGCATGGTGCAGGGATTTCAAGGAATGCAAACGCCGTATTACAGCACAACGTACTGCAGAATGAGATGACAACATCTCCCACAAATACACCATTATCAGAAACACAGTTCAAAGCTGGAAAAATCACCAATCCAAACCTATAACATTCCGACTGGTTTTCATTCTTTAAAAATTTCAAATTAAGGGGCGCTTCAGTGGCTCAGTTGGTTAAGTGTCCGATTCTTGATTTCAGCTCAGGTCATCATCTCACAGTAGTGAGATCCAGTCCCGAGAGGGGCTCCATACTGAGCGTGGAGCCTGCTTAAGATTTTCTCCCTCCCTCTCCCTCTGCCACTCCCCTACTTGCGTGCACAAGCTCTCTTTCTCTCTCAAAAAAAATAATTACAAAATTTTTAAAAATTTCAAACTAAAAAGCTAAAACAAATGAATGCCATTAGGGATACTACAGTAATGATGTGGGGAAAAGTTTTCTTTTTTTTTTTTAAGTTTATTTAAGAGAGAGTGAGAGTGAGCACACGTGCACGAGCAGGGAGAGGGGCAGAGAGAGAATATCAAGCAGGTTCCTATCAGCGTGGAGCCCAACACAGGGTCAATCCCATGAATCATGACCTGAGCTGAAATCCAGAGTTGGACACTTAACTGAATGAGCCATCCAGGCTCCCCCGGGAAAAAGTTTTCAGTGCTTACACTCTTATTTTCTAGAGACCTTGTCAACACCAGAAGATGGTTCTGAAGGGGAACAAACAATATTCATTGCAAAAGGATAAGTCAATAACTTATGGAGCCTATTGAACCAGGATATTTCCTCTGCACTATTTGGGCTATTCCCTTCCAAATCAGGAAAAATACCACTTTTCTTTTCAGTTTCTATGGCTTCATTCATTTCCCTAACATGGGTGTTGTTCCCTTTTTCCTTCATTTCACCAAATGTCACAGTGCTGATCCAAAGCCTTTATAGATCATTCCCCCTTCCAGCTCATTTTTCATTGGTTTCCTAACCCTCTGAGTTCCAACAGCACTTACTGTATGATTTACACAATTTTAATCTCATATTGTTTGCTCATTTTATTCCTGTCCCTTGAACATACAGCTCCTCAAGCGGAGAATCATGGCTAATACTTCAGAATCCACACCAAGCTTGCAGAGCATGGAGCAGAGTAAGAGCTCAAGAAGTTTTTGCTACGGGATGATAAACAGGACAAAATCATGGACATCAAATAACTTTGTAGCTTTTTTGGTTACAATTTAACCATTTCTGTTAGGAAATGGTTCATTTGAACATTCATTTGAATGCCTTTCAAGAAGCTAAAATTTTAACTTAGCTGTGTTGAATATATATGTGGCCAAGAAAACCCTGTATAACTTGCACTCAGATGTCTTAACACAAAGAAACTAAACAAGTAATCATAGCTGTTTGGCTAAGCATTTTTAGATTGTAGACCCCAATTCTACATTATAAGATGTATGGAAGCAATTTTATCTGTAGCAATTTTATCACAGTGACAAATCATCCCTGAGTAGTGATTTTCAAAGCTGCCTTTTGGTAGCAAAAGCCTTTTTTCAAACAAAAGGCTAATCCTAGCAAACAGAAGAAAAGCAGAGCTGATCTTGCTAAAGCGGAAGAAGGCACCTGTAATTCTACCTGCTCGGGTCCTCCTCAAATGCATACCACCTCTCCCCTGTCCCCAGTCCTCAACTGCAATGGGCCCTTAAGGCATCCCTGAGAACCATCCAGTGCTGGAAAAGACTCATAAAACAACCAGCAAGCTGCCACGAATAGAAAAATACTACATTAATTTTTAAAAATTTCAAACATCATCAAAATGTAAAATTAAAACTTACCCATTTCTACTGAAAACTCTTAGCCAAGCTTTGATATTTGGTCCTAACAAACACAAACAAGGTATGGTAGTAAAAGTAGACAAAATAACCGCAAATAAAAATGTTTCCAACACCAGCCTAGGAAAAAAAAAAAACTTTATTAATTTTTTTAAAAGTATGAAAGGTTCACTTACACACATAATCTTTGTTAAATAGATTTAATATAGATTTAAATAGATTTAAATAGATTTAATATAAAGACATGTCCTTACCTTGAAAGATAACACAGGTCCTACCAAAATAACTATTAAAAAATATATTGAAATGCAAGCTCTAAAAAACAATCTAGCAAATATCTGGCTTTAATGATAGAGTTCAGAAGTGTTAAATGCCCTCTAATCCATACAAGAGTCTCCACTACAAGAAACCCCTTTTCTAGATAATTAACTTTCTAACTGAATTGTGTCTGGAACTTTCTCTGCAGCCACAGGTTCAATTCTAGCCTGTATTGGAATCACTTGGAAAGCTAGATAAAGTGAAGAATGGGGGGCTGTGCCCCTAGAGTTTCTGAGGCCTAAGAATTTGCCTTTTATAAAATGCTGATGCTGGTCTTAGAACCACTGCTCAAGACATTCAATCTACTCTAAAACGAATTAAAAAGAAACTACCATTTCCTCATTACAAAGGTCTTATCCTCCCCTCTCTAGGAAAGAATTAACTGTGACTTTAGTGTATGTACATACAACTATGTACAAATATGTATAAAACTATATACATAACTGTGTGTTTGTGTACCACATCACTTGTTTCACTGTAATCATTAATCACTGCTAAATGAAGTTTCCCCATCTATGATGAACATATATAAGAAATATTCATGAATTGAGTTTTTTAAAAATATGGTCAGCTTTGAAAAAGTGTGGAGTTAAATGCTGCCTTTAAACTATAAACATCAGGGGCGCCTGGGTGGCTTAGTTGGTTAAGCGTCCGACTTTCGCTTAGGTCATGATCTTGCGGTTCGTGGGTTCGAGCCCTGTGTCGGGCTCTGTGCTGACTGCCAGCTCAGAGCCTGGAGCCTGTTTCAGAATCTGTGCCTCCCTCTCTCTGACCCTCCCCTGCTCACGCTGTCTCTCTCTCTCTCTCTCCTAGAAATAAAAATATTTTAAAATAAATAAATAAATAAACTATAAACATCAGTTTATTAAATAATTAAATGCAGGGATTTATTGACTTTTCTTAAGAAAACAAATAGTTCTCAAGCACTTCAGAATCACACTTCCTAAGAACTGATATGCTAATTGTAATTAATTTAGACATATCATTACAGTAAATTCCCTTACAAGTCCTAAGGGCCACGAAATAATTGGTATAGTATAGTTTCTCATCTACCTCCCCAGCCCCCATATGCATTGCAGTAACAGAAGGCTAGCTGATAGGAGAATTTAATGAATTATGTACTTATACTGCTTTTTAAAAGAATAACACTTCTAAGGAAGGGCAATCATGTCAGCATCCTTCTGTGATCCAGTAATTAAACATACCACAGTTCTTCTTTAATCACCAACAGAATTAGCGCTTTGTTTAGTAAATGAGCATTTTAGAACATAACTGCCTTAAGGTAAAAATTTCAGACTTACTCAATGAGTGGTGCTCCATATAGAACAAAAATCACATGAAAGAAGAAACATGACATAAGAAAGTAGATACAGCATTTCAAAAACCTGGTTACCTAAAAAAGAAATGAGAACAAGTTAAAGACTCAAGACAATGCCTAGTGGAAATGCTTCCACTTTATCTACAAACACAACTTATTCCCATGTGTGAAACAGCTGAACGTTCTTTCCTTTAGGCAGCCTGAAGTCAGATCCCATGTCTGGTGCACATTCAGGTGCAAAGCCCTCCATACAGCTCCACAAAGCAGCTTACGAGTCACAACCTGCCCCCCATATTCCACCCGCCCGATCAGCACTAGAATCAAAAAGCATTTCTGTTCCTAGGGTATGTACCGAGCTATGTTATTAATCAGTGTTTATAAAATATTTACCAACAACAGAACGCTAGGATACAAAACAACAAACACATAGTCCTAATTACGTGATACATGAAACATATGCAGAAAATAATGACTATTTTTTTCAATTAAAAACAAAATCCTTAGGAAAACTGTACTAACACTAAATTATTCCCCAAATTATATTCATGTTATTATGTGATCCATTTGAAAAAAGACCAGAATGTCTGCAAATCAGCATGGGACCTACTTGATTTGGAGCTTAAAAAGAAATAATTATAAAACATATACTGAGTTTTTTAAATCATAGAGCAGTAAATGTTCTAAATTACCCAAGAGAGCTTATATATAGCATTGGATAATGTTAAGTGAGGACTTTATTAAAGTAATAGTTAAGTATTACATGCTAGTAAATATTTCAGAAAATAGGATCTAACATCTGAAAACTCTAACACTGTTTAGTCAAGGAAGACCATGTTTAAAACAAAGCTACCACAGGAGTGCCTGGGTGGCTGAGTCAGTTAAGCATCTGACTTTGTCTTAGGTCATGATCTCATGGTTCGTGGGTTCGAGCCCTGGGTTGGGATCTGTGCTGACAGCTAGCTCAGAGTCTGGAGCCTGTTTTGGATCCTGTGTCTCCCTCTCTTTCTGACCCTCCCCTGTTCATGCTGTCTCTCTCTCAGAAATAAAAAAACATTTCTAAAAAAAGCTACCACAGAGGCTTTTGTTTGGTAATTTCTGAAAAACCCACTAAGTTTCTTTCAGATATGCAAAAAATAAATGAAAATAAACTAAATGTCTTATAAAGTTTAAAGATAGGACTACTATATCATGTATTTATCTTCAATGGTGACTTAAAACTTGACTATATAGGTTAATAACGCGATAGTATCCATTGAAGATGCCCTAATTCCACATCTGATGCATAGCAAGGACCTACTGAACATTGTAGGCAGTCTTCCAGCAATAATAGGCTACCCATCTGAAGAAAAAAAATCATGTCTTCTTTACTCACTGTAAATAACCCCATGATGACATGACTAATAATTCATTCTTTCATTAAGAGAAACACCACCTCTATCTAAAAATCAGTTATCAAGAAATAAGCCTTACCTTATATGATAATGAACTTCTTTTAGAGGATGCATTTGGTTTCACTACTAAATATAATACTAGATTGACGGCAGTTACAAAAACAGAACAGATGCACAACCATGTCAAGTGTGTTTCCAATATTGAGAAGTTCTCCAAGAAGAATGATGGAATGAAGATGCTTAGGATAATTGAAAATATGCATAAAAGATGAGTATACAGTAGTCTCTTGATATCAGTATCTTTCATGGTGTTTTCTTGAGTGGCTATCTAATGAAAAACAAATTAAGAAAAGAGCATATGCAATAATGACTTTCTCCGTTGTTTAAATGCTCCAACACCTAAAAGTAAGCATGTTACAACTTTCTTTTTTTTTTTTTTTTTAATATTTTTTTATTTATTTCTAGGAGAGAGAGAGACAGCGTGAGCAGGGGAGGGTCAGAGAGAGAGGGAGTCACAGACTGAAACAGGCTCCAGTCTCTGAGCTGGCAGTCAGCACAGAGCCCGACGCGGGGCTCGAACCCACGAACCGCGAGATCATGACCTAAGCGAAAGTCGGACGCTTAACCGACTAAGCCACCCAGGCGCCCCAAACATGTTACAACTTTCTATGCACAATAATGTATTAGTTTCTGAGTATGAGAAGATGCATATGTATAAATGCACATGTAGAGTAATATGGTTCAAAAAGCTTTCAGAGCCTTAAAAGGACAAATTTACTAGTACCTTAAATATTTGTAACTGGTTTCTGAAAAAGGGTCATGTGGGGCCCCCAGGGGGTGCAGTTCGTTCCACTTTGGCTCAGGTCATGATCTCATAATTTGTGAGTTCGAGCCCTGTATCAGGCTCCGTGCTGACAGCTTGGAGCCGGGAGACTGTTTCAGATTCTGTGTCTCCCCATCTCTGACCCTCCCCTGCTCATGCTCTATCTCTCTCTGTCTCTCAATAATAAATAAAACGTAAAATTTTTTTTTTTTTTTAATTTGAAACAGGGTCATGTACTAGGCCCAATTAAGGGATCTGGTTGTTTGGTTTTTGTTTTGTTTTTTGTTTTTTTCCAAAATCACAGAGGTGAAAACAACACGCATGGTTTAATGATTTGCCCTTATTGGAAATATAACCTATGCATTCTAAAAACCCCATGAATACACTCTGGCTAAACTGTTGGTATTTCTTTTTTTAACCAATGTGGACTCCTGTCTAACCCTTGCCAGTAGTTCACACCGTCTGGTAAATGACAAGTGACACCAAACGCACACTTCAATACTCAAATGGTGGCCAGTGTAATCAAGAAAGTCCAAAGAACATTATGCTAAACTAAGGCAGCCCAATGCTTCAGAAATACCAAAATGACAATGTCTGTTACAGGTGTTAGGTTCCAATCAAAACTAGAGCATAAATGGAAGGGGAAAAAGTCAACTTTCTCCTTCTATAAAATACACATTCTATGTCATATAATAGATATTTAACAGGGTTTATACATAGTATTGGCTACTGTTACGTTAGGGGCTTTATTAATTTAAAGTAATAGTCCACATGTTACATTGTGGTGAATATTCCAGAAAAACAAAAGGGCAAGTCCAGGCCTTGTCCTAACAGCTCTCAGATAATTTGCACTGCAATTTTCAAAGGCAAATAGTCTACTGATAAGGAAATAGGCTAATACATTTTAGGAGACAGGTCCAAGGTCCCAAGCTCTCAAGCGCTAGAGCTATGTCAAAGCTTCGCCTCTTTGATATAAAGATATACAAAGGTTAAAAAAGAAAAAAAGGGAAAGTTTCTTGCTGCTCCTACCCTCTGCGGAGCGGTCAGAGGATCTGGAATACAGTCTCAACAGCCACCTCACATTTCCTCGGCTATTTTTCTGGGCTACTCTCAGAACCCAAATGACATGAGCAGATTTGGACCTAATACAGTGAGCAAGTACCCAAACTCAAATGCTTACTGAATCATCGAACGAACAAAAAAGGAAGAGGATGGGTCAAGTGTTTGCCTCTCCTGAGAAAGCAGCCCTGGGGTGGACCCTGTGAGCCTGCGAGGACGCCCACAGGGCGCGCTCGGGGGGTCACGGTCCCGGCCTCCGGGGTCTGACCTGGCCCACGTCCCCAGGTATTGAGCCACCTTTCTGGGTGGCTCGCATAGGAGCCTTCGCGGAAATCGCGGGGCCGGTCTCTTCAGCCCCACCCCAAACTCGTTCGCTCGGGACGCTCGCTGCCCAAGCCTCAGCAGGCGCGAGTGTGAGCAGCGGGGGACAAGCTGAGAGGCATAATCAAAGAGCACCGGCGTGGAGACCAGGAGAAATGAAGGGTCACACACAGAAAGTCGGATCCAGAAGAGGGCCAGTCCATCAGGGCAGCCCCTGGGTCACGCCGGAAGGGTGCGTTCGAACGGACGGGGGCACAGACGCTGGCGGCCACAAGAGCAGCTGGTGGGGGTAGCTTGCATCCCCGAGAGGCTCGCGTGCCGAGAGGGTTCGGCTGGGCTTACCTAACTCTCCCGCCAGCGGAAGATAAACGGGGGTTACTACCTCCCACCATCAGGTACTACCGGCCGCCCTGACCTTCGCGCATGCGCAGGCCTGTGGGGCGGAGACCCAAAACTGCACAGCCAATTGCAGAAGTGGAGGGGCGGGCAATGGGAGCAGCCTCTTCTTCCCGCTGGCGTTTAATTCCTCCCGCTGCTTTTCAGGTGTGGGATAGGCGGGGTGGAGGGCGGAGGGCCCGGAAGTGGGATTTCGTAACCCGGAAGGGGAATCCTTTTCTGGCTGTTGTGTTGATATTTTCAAGCTGCTGTTGTTTCTGTGGCCCAGGGAACCGTCGGAGAAGGATGGTGTGCGAAAAATGTGAGTTAAGAGGCTACATCGGGTCCTTTGCCTTTTGTTTGTTTTCCTTTCGGCCACAGTTCTCGGGTTCCAGCCTGTCCTCCTACCCCTTTTGACCATTCCTGTCCATCCCCAACAACCGTATAGTCGTTTTGCGTTCAGAGTGGTCTCAGTTTTGTACTTGCTTGCGTATTTCCTTTGCCTTCCCCGCCAACCCGGGATCTCACCCCATACAGGTCTTGACTGGCTGCTTCGCCTTACAGACCCTCAGGGTTGGAATGGATCTTAAAAGTCCTAGAGTTGCCAGATTTAGCAGACATTTTAAAAGAGGAATGCTTTTTTTTTTTTTATTTCTAGAACTATGTCCCAAGCAAGATTTGAGACTTGTCTTTGCTTGCTGTCTTTACTACTGAAAGTACCTTTGACCGACTTTTAGGACATGACAGTACTAAAACACCATTCGTTGTTTTGAAATTTAAAATTTACAGGGCATCCTATCTTTCCTCTAGCAGCTCTTAAGTTAGCATCCTGTCAAATGGCTTAGATACTCTTTGCTTGAATACTTGTGGTATTGAGGCAGGGTTCAGAAAGTCTCATCGCCTTCAAAGCAGTCTGTGTAAACTTCACTAACTTTTAGAAAAGGCTTCCCTCCTTGTAGTCACCATCTGGTGATTCTAATGCAAACCCTTAAGGTTTCTAGAAAATTTCTTATGATTTTTTGATGTCATAGACTGTCTATACATTTTAAAACAGCTGTCATACCCCTAAGTCATTTTTTCCTCAGGGTGGTATCTCTGGCTCTTCTAGGCAAGGGTTCAAGTCCTCTTATCTGTGTTAACATAAACATGATCAATTTTGTTTATATCTCCCCTAGTAGATAAAACTTTAAACACAGGCACCCATGAGTTTGAATCACAATTCTTATATTAGGTAAAAGAATAATCATGGGCAAGTTACCTAATATTTCTTGGCCCCAGTTTCCTCATCTGAAAAATGAGAATAATACATAATTTATGAGTTTCGGGATATAATGTAGGTAAAGCCTGATACAAAAGTGCCTTCGTGTATACTCAAAAACTGGTTATTTCTATCATAATCCCCAGTATGTGGCACAGAGAATTAAACTCTCCTTCATTTTATGAGGGGTAGTGTGGAAATAATATTTTCATTTTTCTATGCTTTATACCATCATCTCACATTAAGTTTTTAAAAACTTGTTGAGGGATGCCTGAGTGGCACAGTCAGTTAAGTATCCGGCTCTTGATTTTGGCTCCGGTCATGATCTCACCATTTGTGAGTTTGAGCCCCACAATGGGCTTTGTGCTGACAGTGCACAGAGAGGGAGGATTCTCTCTCTCCCTTCTCTCTCTGCCCCTACCCTGCTTGCTCTCTCGCTCTCTCTCTCAAAATAAATAAACTTTAAAAAATGATTTTTAATTAAAAAATAAAAAATAATTATTGCAATGTAATTGACATAGGTACAATTCACCCATTTAAAATATATCATTTTGTTATTTTTAGTATGTTCACAGGGCTATGCAACCGACACCACAATCAATTTTAGTATATTTTTATCACTCCAAAAAGTACATTAAGCTTTTTGACATTGATGTCCTTTAACTCTATTCCATCCTGTACTTAAGCGATTTTTTGGTTTTGCTTGTTTGAGTAAATATGGCTTACACATATTTCGATTATGCACCTTCCATAATACCTTTTCTCTCATGTAGTGTAGTTCTAAACATATAAATTTGGCCTTCTGTGTAATTTGTGTTAATGCTGTACATTTTAGCTTTAGAGGACAGGTATTCTGCCTGTTAATTTGTTTGTGTGATGTGCTTTACACTTTAAGTGCCTTTTCCCCAGGGAAATTGAGGATACTGGGAAAATTGTGGGAGTTAATTTCCTAAGGCACATAAAAATTTTGAGAACCCAGGACCTGATATGGTATTAAAATAAATACACATAGTTTGTTCTGCGACATGATATGTGTCATAAAAGGCCTTTTGCTTTTCTACTTCTCTGCATGGCTAAAAGTCCAACTCTGTATATTTCTTTGTTTTACTACCGTTCTACCTTCTATACCATCTTATTCCTCAAATAAAAATATACTCCTTGTGGGGCGCCTGGGTGGCTCAGTCAGTTAACCAAGTTAAGCATCTGACTTGGTTCATGGGTTCGAGGCCTGCCTCCAGCTCTGTGCTGACAGCTCAGGGCTGCAGCCTGCTTTGCATTCTGTGTCTCCCTCTCTCTCTGCCCCTCCCCGGCTTGTGCTCTGTTTCTGTCTCTCAAAAATAAATAAACATTAAAAAAAAATAAAAAATGTACTCTTTTTTATTACATATTTCATATCCTCCATCTATCAGCTCATTCTACTCACCCTATAAATAAGCTCATATCTCTCCTATACATAAAGGTACACTCTCAAGCAACTACGTAGCTCTCTCTTTGCCGTCATCATAAAATATATTCATATTTTCAGTTACTTCTTAGTGCTTTCCAAACTTGCACTTTGCCCCACTACTGGAAGAACTTTCAGAAGTTCACTGGTGGTCTCCGAAACACCAAATTAAAAGACCTTTCTCTCAGTCTTTGTCTATGCCTCCAACTTTGAAACTTGGTTTAGATCCTCTTTGAATTTACCTCTCCCTGTGCTTCCTTTCTTTAAAAAAAATTTTTTTTAATGCTTTATTTATTTTTGAGAGAGAGATAGAGACAGCATGAGCAGGGGAGGGTCAGAGAAAGAGGGAGACAGAATCTGAAGATAGGCTCCAGGCTCTCAGCTGTCATCCCTGTGCTTCTTTACCATTACAATTTTCCAGTTTTCTTATTCTCCTTTTCCCCTTAACGTAGATGTTTCCCAGTGATCTATACCTGACCTTCTTTTGACCCTTTTTGCAGAGTTTTAAAGGGCTTTTGACTCTTTCTTTTAGAAATGTCTGGCTTCAAGTAGCAGAGCCATGCCAGTACATGTTTAATCCACATCTCCAGCTGACTTCTCTCTAAACTAAGCACCAATAGAAAAATTTTCTCCCAACAATACCGGGACCCTCTATCTGGTTGTTATCTAATGGTTTAGTACTTCCAAGACTGGATGTGTCATCCTGCTTCACAAACCTGTACCTTCTCTTCCATCATTTAATGGCATCACAATCCTCCCAGTCACCCAGTGACAAAGCCTCAGTCATCTCTCTTTCATTCTCCGATCCCTTTGCGAATCTGCCTCCAAACACTTGCATTTCCTGCTTATTTACTCCCATTCAAGAGCTCCGATTTTCCCTTGCCTTTCAAATACCCTAACTGAGGTCTCCATCACTCTGAGTTAGACGAATATGATCTTCTACCAGCCCCTTTCCCCTCAAACCGTGCCCTTCCTGCCTTCCTGGCTCTTCTGTCTCTAAAACGTTCTGCATGCAAGTGAAGGCCACTGGGGAAAACGGCACAAATGAACCAGTTGGTGCCACTAAAAGTGTACAGTTCCTAGTATCCAAGATCTTTAATACTATTCATCAATCTTTTTTACTTCTCTTAAGTCAGCCCTCTCGTCCTCTGTCTCTAGTGACTATTCCAAACTCTTCAGTGCCTTAAACTTCCCTCACCTTCACGTACTCCATCCTCTGTTGACAAATCCCTCCTTACAGGTATAAGAAAAGCAAGGTAATTAAATGGGAACATTCCCAACATCTCCTCTTACTTTGACTGTTTCCATAATCAGATCTGTATCCATACGCATTTACTTCTTTCCCTTTGTTTTTTCAAGAAAAATTCTGTTTGTGTCCTTGTTGCCGTCCCTCCCTACCTCTTTTAGGCCCTTTATTTGTCTCTATATCCTTTGGAATCTTTAATCAGTGTCTCTTCTATATAAAAATGCTCAATTAGGGGCGCCTGGGTGGCTTAGTCGGTTGGGCGTCCAACTTTTGCTTAGGTCATGATCTCGCGGTTCGTGGGTTTGAGCCCCGCGTCGGGCTCTGTGCTGACTGCCAGCTCAGAGTCTGGAGCCTGTTTCAGAGTCTGTGACTCCCTCTCTCTCTGACCCTCCCCTGCTCACGCTGTCTCTCTCTCTCTCCCCTAGAAATAAATAAAATATTAAAAAAAAAAAAGCTCAATTAAACCCTAACTCCACCTTCCATTCTTGTATTTTGTCGTTTTTGTTTTCATTCATGCAACAAGTATTATATTCCTACCAAATGCTGGATAGTAGGACCAAAGGGTACGTACTTTGTGTTACCATCCTTCATCATTATGCCATATCATTATGAGATGACTTACAGTAATCACAACAGATATTTGAATTGAACCTAAATATAAGTGCACTCTATCATTTCCCAAATTTAAAACCTTGAATAAATTCTCAGTGTGCAGAAAATAATTTTGGCTTTCTATGTTTGAAGCCTGACATTCAAGATGACCCTCCACAATGAGGTCCCAGCTTATCTTCCCAATTTCATT